GTCGTGCCACGATAGTGTCCGGATGGCTGGATGTCCGGAAGGTCCCGATCATTAAGACAAGCACATGGGTCGGTTCTCGGTATGCGTGTCCAATTGAGCAGCGAAGCCCGATGACATCCCGATGCTCGGGGTGGCATCCTAAAGTATCGGTGGGCACCCGATAAGTGAGAAAAGGCTAGTCTTGGCCCGGGAAGCGGCAAGACTCATCCCGGTTGCCAAGTTTACTCATTCTTTGTCCGAAAGTCGGTAGGAATCATCCCGGCAGTACCGGTAGGGCCGTTTAGCCCGTTATTGACTAGTTTCTCGGCAGGAATGGTCTTAGAGGCGTCCGATGGGCTCGATAAGCTAGTTTTGACATAGTTAATCGGCAAGAATCTCCTGGTTGTACCCGGTTGGCGTTTTAAGCTCGTTCTGGCCGCGTTATGGGTCGGAACTCATCCTGGTAAGGTCTTGGCTCATCGTAGGAGTGGGACGGCCGAGTGGCCGAGAACCAAGATGGTTGAAAACAAGTTGCGACGTCGCGTTTAGAAGACCTTGGCCTAGAGTAGAGGCAAGGTAGAGCCGTGGGGCTTGGCCTAGCGTAGAGGCAAGCCGGCTAGAGTCGCGTTAGAGTTTAAATGCACGTACGGGCGACGTGCATTGCCGAGACAAGTGTGAATTCTGCTGCAAGTGAAGCTCGGTCGAGGAAGAAAGAACCTCACCTAAGATCCGACGAAGCCCCAAAGGGGCGCAAAAAGTAGATTGGAGCTAGAGTTCCTCGTAAGGCTGGCCATGGTCGAGCTTAGATCATGGCGCCGCACGGTTGAAAAATGTACGACCGTGACATTTGGTATCAGAGCCGAAGTTGGCTCCGTGAGTAGAGATCAAGGCCCAAATCACAGAGTATGACTTAGTATCAGACCCATCCTTTGTGCGTTTAGTCGGATAGTTTGACAAAGCCAAGTTCAGATTGAAGACTCCGCAAGTGTGTCAAGAGTGCCAGTTTGGTAGGACAGTTGCATCAGTCAGTATCAGAGGCAGAAAGAAAGAGTTGAAGCCGGACTTCTTGAGACTCAAACGATGTCGTCGATAGGCATTCGATTGGGGGAAGTCCATCCCGTTAGAAAGCAAGACCCAAGTCCTTTGCTTAAGGCTTGGCGGTTGCGTTGTGAGCAGAAGCGATCAGAAGGCAGCATTCTATACTGCTCCCAAAAGTTGTAGAGCTATCTTGAAGCCAAATGCGGAGTGACCCGCAAGAAGAAAGAAACGCACGTCAGTGGTCATAAAGTAGGCCAAGACTGAGTGCGCAAGAGCAAGCACGAAGAAACCGAAGGCGAACCAGTTAGGGTGTCTTCGAAAGAGCCATTACCATCAGAGGGATAGTGTCAATGGCTGCAAGCAGACAAGCTGGGGGTCAGTGCGACATGCGCCGGTCAAGTGCCAGAGTTGCATCAAGTAAGTCCACAGATGGTGGACAGTGTGGCTAAGCAGAGAGCCAGTTGAGAAGGGGAAGTGGCCCGAGACAATGGGTTCCTTGCCCCAAGTTATGCTCAAGAAGTGAGCACACGTGTCCCTTAAGTTAAAACACTCTTTAGTGCGGGCTTGCAGGTGCGCTCAAGAGAATGAGCCAGGTTGCATGACGAGTTTAGAATGAACGACTTCGCAGAGAAGTTCAGAGGCCAGTAGTTGCTCAAAAAGGAGCGTTAGTCTGGTGCGATTGTGTTCGCAGGAAGCTGCAGGTAGAGAAGAGTCGTGCAGCGTATTTGCCACACGAAAGGTGGTGTGAAGGCAGCCGTCTAGGTTGTCCGTTTGTCGCAGGAGGCGGCACGAGAATGTTACCCTGAAGGGTGGCGTAGTAGAAGCCTTGTACAGTTTGTTTTACTTACCACAGCAAGTGGTTGGAGAAAAGGCTTGTTGCAGTTGTGCGTGCCACGATAGGTGGCCTGTTGAAGACGTTGGCTGAAGGGTAGGGCCAACTTGAATTGAGCAACAGAGTAAAGTGTTAGCTGCCTCAGTAAAGTGTCAGTTGTTCAGAGAACTTGAGAGTTGAAGCCAAGTGTGCTTGAAGCAAGGGTCAAAGTGTGCCCAAGTTTAGTACCGTGTTTCTGAAGTATGTCTTGGGCCAAGTCCGAAAGCAGGGCGTGAGAAGGTCCGCGAAAAGAGACTGTTTCATGAGCATTGTGCCAAGTTGACGTTCTGCTGCAACGCTGAGAAAGGGCCGAGTCAGTTAGCCAGTCTGCAAAAGACGTCATCGAGAGCGATGACGAGTTTAAGTGGGGGAGAGTGTTACAATCCTAACTCTTATCTTTGGATTGTATCCCACGAGTAGGTCATCGAGGACGACGACAGTTTAAGTGGGGGAGAATGTGACAACCATACTAGTAGAGGGTAGGTCATGACGCCCACGTAGTGTGCAAGTGTCAGTGACAAGCATATGTCGCCAATCGGGCTATGTCGAGGGCCGAGAGAGAAGTGCCGTGATGCGACCAAGGAGGATGGTGCATCATCTAACACACCATATGGATGTGCTCAAGAATGCCTAGAGAAGGCGTACGCAGAATGCAATGAGAAGGCGAGGTCAGTGGTGTCGGTGACAAGCTCAACGTGGGCCAGTTGGGGCCCCGGGCCATGACCCTAGAAGTCGGCATTCCGTCGAGAGTTTGGACGAGCGGCTTTAGAGTTAGATGCATATTTGTGAGATATGTACGCACGCCAAGTTTCGTGTCAATCGGAGTTCAGACGTGCGCTCTACGTTGGCGAGTGACTCCTCGCCACTTAGGACGTCTACACCTGCCACACCAAAAATGCCTTATAATGTACCTTAGGGGGGACCAAGTAGTCATCAAACCTCC